GCTCAGTCTTCGTCCCATTCATGGCTGGTTTTCCTGTTGTGCAGAGGTCTGCAGTGGACATGGGTGCGAGGGGGAGACCCGCGAAGTAGAGGGAGTGTTGTTTCATGCTGGGACAGTTCTGTGCAGATGTTTGGAGAAGCAGCATCCTGCTTTCCGCAGGGGGAGCTGTTTCACAGTCTCACCAGCAAGGGGTGGAGGCGCCAGGCTCTCTGGACCTTCACCGGCACAGGCCACATTTTGTCCAACAGTTTTAATAATGCCGTAGGGAAATGATCGTGTAAAATGGGTCTCGACTTCCATGGCTGTGTAGTAGGCTTTGAGATCCGGAAATAAGAGCCCGCCTACTTTGTTCTGACGTAGTGATGCTCTGCGTATCCTAGGTCTCTTGCCACATGGGGGTTCGTTTTTCATCTCTCTAGGCAATGACATAGTCTGGTTTGGGATTGCTTTGGGTAGGACTGACACGCTCAGAATGTACCTTTCTTTCCTGTCCACAAGCGTGGCGCGTTCTTCTGTTTACGTAGGTTTCTCTTAGTCTCTTGTGTAGGGTTGGGAAATGTTCCTTGGCCGAGCCTTCTTCTTAACTCGGGTTCTGTTTCTTTTTGAGTGCTTCATCTTGCAGGTGGCTCTTGTGGAACCAGTGCCGTGGTACTGTCTTCCTCATATCCTGTACAGGCTGCTCTTTTCTCGTAAAAAGGAGTCCAACTAACGTTTGCGTGTTGACTGCGTGCCCTGCCCCTTTGCTGAATCTGTCCGTTAGCTAGGAAGATTTTCGTTCAGGGTCTTTGGGATCCTGTCATGTGCAGATAGGGTGTTGTGTTGCTTCCTCTTTGCTGAAGTGGATGCCTGGACTTCCCCTTTGTTGCCTGAAAGCTCTGGCAAGGACTTTCAGGAAAATAAGGACACCATTGAGTAGGAGGGGTGATAGAAGGCATCCTTACCCCAGTCTCCTCGGCCAGGGCACCGCGTTCAGTGTCCCCTCTGCTGAGATGGCCTTCTGGTTGGCTTTGTGTAGAGACCTTCTGTTATGGTCAAGCATAGCCCTTCTATCCCTAATATACTGCCTGTTTTTAAAAGGAATGGATGTCAAATGCCTTTTCTCTGTCAATTGAGATGATTATTTCTTTGTTTTATTTTTGGGATGGATTGCATTGATTATTCTCCGAGTGTTGCACCATCCTTGCATATAAAATGTGAATCTGATCTCATCTACTTTGCAGAGCTCAAAAGGGATTAGGTGTAAGACACACCAGAGTGATAGCTTCTCATTCCTATAACAAAGACACCATTGCCCCCAGTAAGATTGCATCTAAGGTATAACGAAGCCTGTCAAGCACACTGGTGTGGCGTTGACTCTAACTCATAGTGGATGTTCAAGGCTGTAAATCCTTTCAGGAGACACAACTTCATCTTTCTCCCCAGGAGGGACTCATGGGTTGGGATTGTTGCCCTTGCAGTTAGCAGTTCAGTAGATGCCCTACCACGCCATGAGGGCTCTGACTCAGCGTTCAAGGGATTAGATTTGTGCTCCAGCATATGTCTTCTCCATGTGGATGAGCACACTTTTAGCCATGAGATCGGTTCTTGCTGATTTTCCTGGGGCCATTGTGGTTGCCTCAGTTGGTGTCCTCAGTACATCTCCTAGGATCAGGAGGGCTGTTGAAGCTACAGCCATGTCATGTTGTTGTCTTTGGAAGGAAGAGGGGACAACCAGGAGGAAAAGGAGGGTGGGATTTGGAGTGGCTGGACATCTGGTTTGAAGTCTCGCTCACTTCTCTCTGTCACTCTGGAGTCATGCTTTCACCCCCCCAAATTAACTTTATTGCCTGGATGCATTTATTTATTATAAGGGATGTGAAACACAACATTTGTTACCAAGTATGATGTTGCGATGTGGATTCGGTTCATCTTGTGGTGTTTGCTGCCCTCACCAGTATGTGCTACCAGCCGTTGCATCAGGGAAGAGCACCCTCGTCGGTCTCGGCGTCCGCCCCTGCTGGGAAAGCTAGCGCTTTGCTGACAGTGTGCGCACTCAGGACCGCAGGAGTGGGTGTTCTGCCCCTGCCACCACCGGTCGTCTGAGTGAGGGTCACTTGTTGCTTCGTGTGACCACTTCTCACCTGGAGAGTGCTCAAGCCGGCCATGTCTCTGTTCTGACAACTTGCTTTGACAGTTCTCAATTGAAACTGAGAATTTCTGTCTCTGCGACTTCTATGCCCCTCGGAGGAGCATGGAAGCAAGGGGTGACACCCGAGAAGTGAGCCTCTGACGGCCAGTCTGGTCCCCACCCCGCTCAGCGCGGCCGTGAGAAGGAACACGGAGCACCTGCAGAGAAACCAAGCCGGGAAGAACCCGGCGTAGACAGGGAATCAGCAACACGTTCCATCGCAGTGTTGGTCTTAGCTACCAATGAAATCGTAAAAGTAAATGTAATTTTATTGAATATATATATATATATTCAATATTTGGCTAAGGTCCCTGGCCTTTGAAATCATCTTCTTTAGAAGTGCCCATGTCTTCTCCTTGGTAATTTCCCTTGGTCATTTGTGCATCTGGAGTGGATCTTAAAGTTCCAGTCATGTCCTACAGCGTCACTATGAGACGGAATCAACTCAGTGGCAGGGAGTTTTTGGTTTTTGAGAAGTCGATATACTTCTGAAGGTACTGTTTCCATCTCTCTAACCAAGTGGTTCTCAACCTTCCTCATGCCACGACCCCTTCATACAGTTCCTCAGGTTGTGGTGACCACCCCCAACCATAAAATTATTTTTGTTGCTACTTCATCAGTGTTATTTTGCTACTGTTATGAATCGGGTGACCCCTGTGAAAGGGTCGTTCAACCCCCAAAGGGGTTGCGACCCACAGGTTGAGAACCGCTGCACCCTTCCCCCAAAGAATCCTCCCCTCTCTGATTTACATCACACCAAAACAATGTTGTAGCGTCCTCTGGAGACTCCTATTGTGTTCATTTTCAATAGACTTTGAGTGCACGGACAAAACTCAGGCTGTCGGGTGGATGCGGTGAAGTTGCTCATTGAAACTCTCTTGGACTGCCTCTCTCCCCCTGAGGAATGAGCCGATATGTGGTTGGGATGGGGGAGGATTTCTTACAACAAATTCCTAGCATTTTTCCCATTTTCAGTTTTCTGAAAATGCCTTCCTTATAACAACCACCCGCCCCCCACTACCACCCCCCCAAGGAGTGTCCTGTGCTCTTCAGGGAAATCTGACACAGATCACCCCTGGGGCCTTAAAAACAGTCACCAGAACTTCCTGACTGATCACTGTGCCTTGCATCTCCCGGGCCCGGCGGATGGCCTTGGAAGCTGTTGTTTTGACAGGACCTGATTCCTGGGATCACATTGGAAAAGCCAAGACACATCCCTGGTGGTGGGTCATTCCATAAAATCACCTTCCCGAGCTCCCACCTTGCTTGAAAGACAGGTGGAAAGATAGGCTCGTTGAGCTAGCTGATTGTCACACAACACTCCCTTTTTGGAGGCCGCTAACCAGATTACGGCAGCTTGCCTGCAGCCATCCTCTGATCACAGCGACCTGTTTAAACGCGTTTCGTTTGTAATGAATCCATGCAGGTGTGAACTGAAAACTCCACTAGCAATAATGTTGACTTACCCTAACACATACTCATTGTCCAGGAGGGAACTTCAAAAAGTTCATGGGAAAAATCCCTTATCTTTGCACAAGTGTTGTGACGCCCCCTCACCTAGGGACCATATTTTGTTTCCCCCATCCACCTACTGTGGAATTTCATTGTGTTTTATTTTAAGGAACTTGGCACGTGAACCCACATGTATCTGGGACAGCAAAACTTTTGGCAATTGCTTCCCTAATGCTGTCTCCTAAGGCTGAGGACCAGTTTACCCAGATTCCCACCAGCGGGAGAGGAGTGTTACTGCAGCCAAGCCCGTTGTCCACACCCTCAAAGCACCAACAGGCTGTCCACCAGGTCATTCCCTTGGCCCGGTGGGGCACTGAGAGCAGTTCACCAAAGCAGCCAAGTCCTGCACACCGCAGAGTGTACCTGCAGGGCTCCTGGTCTCTCGGGGACCCTCATCCAGAGCCTCGTGGGAATGCCGGGCCTGCAGACCGAGTAGCCCGTGTGCTTTTGTGCCAGACTGCAAAGCCCTGCGTAGGGAACTGTTGCAGCAAACACCAGGCCACAGTGGCCCGGAGCTAGGCGGAATCCGGAATCCGGGCTCAGGGTAAAGACATGTTACAAATTAAATGTTGCAGTCAGTATGTAAAGCTACAATAAATAGAAGCTGAGTTACATCAAGGATGGAATTAAACCTTAAATTTAAACTCCACAGCACTGTAATTAAAACGTAGCCTGTAGCAAATCATTCACTTGAGATTAAAGTAGTGTGGGGGATGGAAAGATTTGGGTTTACCTTGCTTTCTACCATTTATAAATCTGAGCTACCCAAAGCGGACAGCCCTGCCCCCAAATCCAGCTCCCAATTACAAACACAGTGTGAACCAACCGCCTGTGGGGCCCCTGTGAGCAGAAGTCTGCCCCTCCCCCTGCCTCTGTCCACGAACAACTTTTAAAATATTACCTGGTCCCCTGATGGCCTTCTGAGCTGACACGGGTTTTCATTAATGCATCATTAGAGTAGTGAGTGTGTTTAGCGTTTTGCTTTAAAAATAGCCTGGGCTTCCCTACCTTCGACTCTGTGGCCTCCGGACGCTCTGTTCCTGGGACTAGTATTCACTTCACATAAATAATATTAATAAAGGAATATAAACTATCATGAATCACTTTGGGTATCTATTCCTCACCCTGATCTAAGTGGTTCAAGGCGATTTGGTATTTTGTTTTTGATTGTTTCACATTGTAAACACTGGGGTTAGTTTAACCACAGCCTAAGGAGGAATTCCCCGAAAACGAACCCCCCCCCCCCAAAGTTTCTCTCAGATTGGAAAGCCATTACTTCCTATAAAAGGACCTGGTATTGAAAGTGGTTTTTATTTTCTAGACTGTGAACTGCTACCTCATAGACAATAACGGATTTATTCTGGTGGCTGAAGACGACACACAGGTGAGTGATAAGCCCTACCTGGGCCAGGGGAACCGAGCTGGGGGCTAATCCTTAAAGACAGTGGCCTATGTTTGCAGGGGTCAGAGCAGGAGATTATTCTAAACCTTGCTTCTGTCCCTCTAAGAATGTCACAGGCTACTTCTCACCAAGCCCCAAAGAATAAACGCTTACCTCCCCGTGGGGGCAGGGGCAGGGCTGGGGCTCAGGGTCTGCTCTTTCGCCTCCAGAACGTTCCATTTCTGTTTTCTCTCCTCTGAGCTGCTGTGCCACATCAATGCTTCATGATTGTAGAAATTCTTGAAAGGATTTAGCAACCCAAAGATATTTTATCTTCCTCTTACATTGCACACGCGATGATTGTACAACTTTTCTCGATGTGACTGAATAATTAAATTGTATGGCTGGTGCATGAAGTGCTAGTAAAACTGTTAAACTTTAAAAATAAATAAAATGCACACATGAAGAGACTCAAGAAAGTCTATGGAAGGAACCACACTATCTTTTCATTCTATTTTTTCCACAGACTTTTGAAACCCATGCATGTATGTGTGCACGTGTATGTGCACAATTACTGTTTACGACTTTCTTTCTCATCTCTACTTCTTAAAGATTAGCTTGCTGAGTTCAAGGACTACCTTGGGCTCTCCGCACGGAGGGACAGGTCTCAGAGGCAGTCGGAGAACATTCTTGATCACTCAGAGTCAGAATCCATTCGATGGCAGGGGCTGGGCAAGGGGAGAAAGCACACGTTGGGGCTGAGGACAGACACATCTATTGGATTTGAAAATCTGACTATGAGCAAAAATCAACAGAACTGCAACCGAGAAGCAAAGGCTCCCCAGTAAAACGTCCCGCTCCATTACATTACTGTGGTCCATTCCGAGAAGGCCACGCACAGACCACGGAAAGCAGTTCTACTGGGGGAGAAGGCAGAAGGCCGGAGCTCGCTCCCTTTCCATAACGAGTCTGGGTAACCGGCTGCCTTTGTGGACCTGCTTCCTGAAGGGCTCGGTGAAATGAGAGTTTCCTGCAGAAAGCTTGATCAGCCTCCTAATATCTGATCATGAAGCCCTTTATAATACATTAAAAAAATTTTTTTGGTCCTCCGAAGACTAAATAGGCCCATCAGTGCTTAGTAAATTAGTTTGTCATTAAAATAGTTGATTGTCATTAAGTTTTGTCTTCTGGTCTGAGCTTAAAGTTGATCAACTATTGGCTCTGGGTAACAGGAGGAAATACGCTTCGGTCTCCCCTCTTACCTTCCCCCAAATACAATGCGGGGTAATATGCCTTTGAGGTCTGAAAAATTACGGATAGGAAGGGGAAAAGACACGGCTGAGAATCAGAGCAGCCTGCTGGCAGTCTCCTGGGCTTCAGAACGCCACAAGACTTAGGGAAATGGGTGGGCTCTGGGCAGGAAGCATGGCTCCAGGGAACGGGGGCCAGTGTCTGAGGGAACAGGAAGGCCCACACCCACAAAGCAAAGATCCCCCCTTGAGCCAGTCATAGGGACCCCGTGGACAGAGAAGGACTACCAGTGCAGGAGAAGGACCTCCTCTCTCTCCCCTTGAGCTGCTGCTGGTTTTGAACTGCAGACCTCACAGTTAGCAGCCAATTATGTCACTGAGGGAGATCTTCCAACTCACAGTGACCCGAGGTAGGTTGGTCTCTAAGGCTGTAATCTTTATGGAAGCAGAGAGCCTCTTTTTTTCGCGTGGAGTGGACAGCGGATTCAAACTGCTGGCCTTGCAGTTCGCTTCCCGACACTTACCTGTCATCACCACCAGAGCCCCGGGGGCAGTAGGCCTAGGGCAAGAGAAAGGTGCCGCTGTCAGTTCCCACTTGTCTGTGCTGAGCAGAAGGACACTCACTCCAGGGGGTGTTGACGGCTGTGATGCTTGGGGGCTTGTTCTCTGAGAGCCCTTCTGGGCTGCTTCATGGTAAGATGGAGAGAAGAGCAGCACTGAGACATCCACAGGGCAGTGCAGCAAGGGGTCACCCCCTCACCTGTGAGAAGTCGCTCTGTCTTCTGTCACCATCACGTGGGGCAGACATGGGCCCTGTTGGAAGGTGGTGGCGGGCATCTTCCCGGGGTACGCTTAAACCAGTGAAGGAGGGGCTCCAGCAAACCTCTGGCTGCTCTAGGTTGACTCCCTTCCCTGCCCGTGAGTGAGTGTGCCAGCCTGCACTGTCCGGGCTTGTGGAATGCCGTCTGGCTTCCTGCTCCCAGGTGAGCGCAATTCCCCAGCAAACAGCCAGTTCCATGGACGTGGACACGGGCGCATTCACACAGGGAACACAATGTCCTCCTCGCTCCTGGTGGCAGACACACCCACCGAGATTGGACGAGGCTCCTGGTTTCCCAGAAGTGAAAAGGGCAAAATCACTCTTCCATCAGAGAAGTAGCTCCTCCTCCTTCCAGTCTCCTCTCTTGACTTGGGAGTGAAGTCCATAGGCCTTTCTGCCTAAACCCCCCCAGGTGCACGGTTGAGCCCACTCAGTTGGCTGTAATGGAGTTTGGGGTGTACTCAATCCAAGGCCTAAGGAATGCATATAATTTGGGAGTGTCCTGTCCCCCACCCACCACATGCAAACTGTAACCTCTCTGAGCACTTACAATCCAGATGGGGGTTCTCTGGAGGTCTCCATGCAGCCGCCACCCTGCCCCCCAGGAGTTGGCAGGGGGATGCACTTGATTCTTCCTTCTGTTCTGCTCACCGTATACCCCCTCGCTTTGGATAGCGCAGATGAGAGAGGTTCCAGAAGTCTGGATGTTAATTCTTCATCCCAACCTTCAAAGATTGCAAACCCCAGCCAGCTCCGAGAACGAGACTTGAGAAAGCATCGCTTGGTGGCAGGGAGGGGATTGCCAGGCCTCCAGTGACCTGATGGTATAAAGAGCCAGAGATAAGAGTCTCTTGATTGGCCGGGCCCTCTCCACAAGGACTGGGCACTCTACATTTTGTCAATGGAGTAACTGCCAGTGGACAAAACAGGAGTGTTTCTCAGAGAGTGACTGTGAGAAAGGATGGCTTCTCAACTGTGGGGAAATGTGTAGGGTCGATGAAGAGGACTACTCGGGCTCCCTAAACTGTTCACCCAGGAATTTCTACAATGCTGTGGTGACCGTAGGAAGCCTCTTCACAGGCTGTTCTCTCTCTGTGCAGCAGTGTTTTCATCGCAAGGGACTGAGGCAGAGTAGCACCTGCTCCTCCCACCGCAGTGGTGTGTGCCGGTGTGTGGTGTGGGCGCCCCACTTCAGGCCCGTTTGTTGTCACGGCGTGTGGCCCAGCCCTGCAGAGCTACGCTTGTCTGCTCACTGGTTTGCTGTGTGGAACACGGTTTGTCATCACCCCAAAGGCCTTTCCCCTTTGGATGTGGCAGCCATCCTGGTCAGCAGCGCTCAGTCCCACGACAGAGACTGGTCCCTTTTGTGTCCCCGCTGAGTTGGGGGGTGTGCACGCTGCGTGCTGACTTCTTCACATGGGCCCTTTCTTCCCCACAGACAGGAGACTTTTTCGGCGAGGTCGAGGGAGCGGTGATGAATAAATTGCTAACAATGGGCTCCTTTAAGAGGTAAGGATTTTATGGTCCCCTGTGCCCCCCGGGTGGGGGGGGGGGCTGGGAAACTTTGTCTAAATAAAATCAAACAAACCAAGGTCAAATAAAGCAAGCCCACACTTGACCCTGGGGCTGGCATGTGCATGTTCCTGCTCCAGAAGTGCTCCCCGAAGCCAGGCACACCCAGTACAAGAGTGCTGTTAGAGGCTCACAAACGGGCCTCACCATGAGGTTCCTGTTCACAGGCAGCGCTCCTGGGAGGCCAGGGTTGGAGCAGGCGCAGCACTGTGATGCGATGGTATCAGCCTAGAGCTGGTCGCTTGGAAGAAGTAGGAAGCATTGTCTACTTACTCCGAAAGGAGGAGTATCGTTTGTCCAGCCAGCCTGGAAAACCTGCAGGGAAACAAGCACAGAGATGAGAGGCCTTGGTCTTGGGACTTGCTGGGAACATTTCTAGAAAATCCAGTGAGGAATCTTAAGAGCTGTTCCTAGACAGCGGTGGGGGTGGGGGCTGTGTGCCTCTGAGCTCTGAGACCAGTCTAAGTCGCAGTGAGCCCACCGAGTGGCATAGGACCACCCTGTGGGGGTGCCAGGCTGCCACCCCTCTCAGAATCCATCCCTGCCTCTTCTCTCCTGAGGAGCGCTGGTGTGTTCAGACTTCCCACCATAGCTTACCAGCCTGCTCCCCAACCATTGGGCTCTCAGGCCCCTTGCTCCCAGACAGAATAAGTTACAGGCTTTTGATTTAAAAGTAAACCAAACCAATAAGAACTAGACTGATGACCATCAAGTTGTTAACAACCCCAAGTGCCCTGACCCAGGTGGTCCAGCCTTTACGTGTGCACAGCAGCAGACAAGACAGCCTCGTCTTTCTACCCAGGAATGGCTGGTGGGCTTGAACGGCTGACTTTGCCATCGGCAGCCCAGAGCCTAACCCTCAGTACCATCAGGGCTCCTCACAAGCAGAGCCAGGTCATGTCTAACTTTCTGCGTGGCAGACACTACTCATCCAGGTCTGGAGAACGCCCTATGACCCCGACTAAGGCTGTATGTGACGTCTCACTCCCTGGTCGTGTCCCCGTGGGCAGGCCAGCCATGCTCTGAGGAACGCGGAAGGCTGTGGGAAAAGCCATCCATCACCCATGAGACCAGGATGTCCGTAATATCTTCCCTTCCTTTGGTCTCCCAGGAAGAATGGCGGCCTTTGAAGTGGGGCTTGAATCGGCATATTTGATGCTGTTAAGTATATAATAGCAGGAAGGGCGAGGATGGCCTCCAGCTCACCGGTGAGAGCTAGTGCACGCTGGCCGCTGGTGGGAACGGCAGCCCCGGTGTGTGGCAAGTCTGCCCCCTCCCCAGCCGAATGACCAGGAAGTGTTAGCTCAGGAAATTGGACTTTGAAGCCAGTCAACAAGACCAACTGAGCGCTGTGCTGAAAGCAAGGAATTCAGAAATGATGACCCAATTTTTCAAATTCCAGAGCTTGTTTGTGCCAGATCGGGGTCGGGAGGGATGATATTGAAAACAAAAAAAGCTGGCATAAATCCAGCTATTCTACACTAATCTCGGCCACACGGGTCTGTCTCGGGCCTGCCAGGAGCAGGGTGTGCAGTCTGTTGAGTTCCCCGTGTACGCATGCGTGCCGTCTACCTCTGCTGTGAGGGGGCTGCCGGGAGTCTCCTATGCTTCCCACGCTTCCCTCGCCAGTGCGTGGGTTGCCTGGCATCCCAGGGCCCGCTCCTGTTTCCTGTCTTTCTGTGGACGTGTGCATTGGTCTCATGGTAGCTTGTTTTCAACGTGGTGGAGGAGGAGACCAAGGATGAAGAATAATCACACACGTGGTTCTCATTTGAAAGCACATTTTTCAACTTCTTTAACAAAACCAGCCCCCACTTTTTCCCCCCGCTTGGATATTCCTTTGTAACTGTTTAATAGGAGAAGAGAACAGTTGCCGGGTTTAGAATGCCAAGTCTTCTCCTTCATGTGGGTAAGAGTATGGGTGGTATGAATCTTGAACTTTCCTTTTCTATGATAGTAGCTAACCCCTCTGAGAAGAAAGAGCTGTTCATTTTACTCCATTGTAACAGCGGGGGCCGCCATCAAGGAGCTCGGTGAAGACCCCCCAAGGCACCACAAGACCACTCAGAGTAGGTGGCCTGGGTTCATATCCAGATCTGACATTTATTAGCTGCATAGCCGAGCATAAGTTGAGTTCGCTCTCCGAGCCTTCCTTTCGTCCCCTTGCATAGGAAATGGAGATGATAATAACAGTGACTTCCAGGGTTGCTATCAGTGTTAATGAGATGATAATAACGAGAAAGAGCTTCTCAGAGTGTCTGGTCTACATTACAGGCTCAGTAATTGCTAGCTGCTGCCGTGACTTTGGTTGTTGTTTTGCCTAAATGGTGGTGGTGGAGGTGCTGGTGGTGGTTCTGTGGAGGTGGTGGTGGTGGTGGTGCTGGTG